TGAGCGATCTAGGGCCATCATGGCCCTCTTGTTTGATGTACAGACTTGAAATTTCGACCAGGAATGTAATTTCTGATGTAAATTGAATTAAGATAGTAACTGACTACTTTTGATATTAATGATATCGTTTGACCTTGTTTCTTGTTTGTTGATGTACCTATTGAAATTTGGACAATGGGTTTAATTTCTGATCCTGAATTGAATTTTTATATCCACTAGCCTACTTTTCATATTTTTTGATATCGCATGACCTACTTTTTTATGCACCCGATATAGTCGTCTTGTCTGTCCGTCATGTCGAGGTTGAACCGTCCGTGGATTTCTTAAGTCTGCCTGTCATGCTCGTACGAGTTAACAACTATAATACGGCATGATTGGAAGTTATTATCTGCTTCATATTTCCTATCCTTTTTAGTAGAAAATGAATAATGGTTAACCTAAAACAGCAAGTTGGAAATATCTTAAGTTCTATCTATACTAATGGCTTTATAATTTCCACATTTACTTATCAATACAAAGTACATGATATTGCCAAGTTATATAACTGTGTCATCCATATTTCCCAGTTATTTCCCTTTTTATGCCACCGTGGCATATAGCGATTCACCTGTGTGTGTGTGTGTGTGTTTGTTTGTTTGTGTGTGTGTGTGTTATATAGATTATATAGTGAACTTAAAAAATCTTCTTGTGAAAAACCACTAGTCCAATTTTAACCAAACTTGGCAGGATTGATCCTTGGGTGAAGGGCTTCCAAAGTTGTTCAAAAAATTTCATTCCATGCAGAAATCTGGTTGCCATGGCAACCAAAAGGAATTATAAGAATAAATTTAAAAAATCTTCTTGTAAAGACCCAAAAGGCCTAGAGCTTAGATATTTTGCATAAGGCATTGTCTTGTAGACCTCTACCAAGATTGTTCAAATTATAGCCCTGGGGTGAAAATCGGCCCTGCCCCGGGGGTCATTGATTTTCACTATATGTACATATAGTAAAAACTTAAAATACCTTCTTGTAAAGACCCAAAAGGCCTAGAGCTTAGATATTTTGCATAAGGCATTGTCTGGTAGACCCTTACCAAGATTGTTCAAATTATAGCCCTGGGGACAAAATCGGTCCCGCCCCGGGGGTCATTGATTTTCACTATATGTACATATAGTAAAAACTTAAAATACCTTCTTGTAAAGACCCAAAAGGCATAGAGCTTTTATATTTTGAATAAGGCATTGTCTGGTAGACCTCTACCAAGATTGTTAAATTTATAGCCCTTGGGTCAAAAATGGCCCAGCCCCGGGGGTCATTGGTTTTCCTTATCTGTATATAGTAAAAACTTTAAAAAAAATTCTTCTAGCAATTGACAAATGCTAGAGGTTAGATATTTTGCATGAAGCAAGATTGTAAAAATTATAGCCCTGGGGTCAAAATTGGCCCCACACCCAGGGGTCATTGATTTTCACCATGTACATATAGTAAAAAATTAAAAAATTGTCTTGTCTGAAGGTTAAAGGCTTAGAGCTTTGATATTTGGTATATAATATCATCTATGGGTCCTCTGCTAAAGTTGTTTTAATTATGCCCCTAGTGTTAAAATTGCCCTGCCCCAAAAGCGATAGTTTTCCTTATATGTATAAAGTAAAAACTTGAAAAATCTTCTTCCCTGAATTGAAAAATCTTCTTCTCTGAATTGACAAAGGCTAGAGGTTAAATATATGGCATGAGGCTTTGCAAAGTGAACCTTTACCAAGATTGTTCAAATTATAGCCCTGGGGTCAAAATTGGTTCCGCCCCGGGGGTCATTGATTTTTAATATGTACATATAGTAAAAAAATAAAAAATATTTTTGTCTGAAGGTACAAGGCTTAGAGCTTTAATATTTGGTATATAATATCATCTATGGGTCCTCTGCTTAAGTTGTTTTAATTATGCCCCTAGTGTTAAAATTGCCCTGCCCCAAAAGCGATAGTTTTCCTTATATATATAAAGTAAAAACTTGAAAAATCTTCTTCCCTGAATTGAAAAATCTTCTTCTCTGAATTGACAAAGGCTAGAGGTTAAATATATGGCATGAGGCTTTGCAAAGTGAACCTTTACCAAGATTGTTCAAATTATAGCCCTGGGGTCAAAATTGGTTCCGCCCCGGGGGTCATTGATTTTCAATATGTACATATAGTAAAAAAATAAAAAATATTTTTGTCTGAAGGTACAAGGCATAGAGCTTTGATGTTTGCTATATAATATCATCTATAGGTCTTTCAAAGTGAACCTTTACCAAGATTGTTCAAATTATAGCCCTGGGGTCAAAATTGGTTCCGCCCCGGGGGTCATTGATTTTCAATATGTACATATAGTAAAAAAATAAAAAATATTTTTGTCTGAAGGTACAAGGCATAGAGCTTTGATGTTTGCTATATAATATCATCTATAGGTCCTTTACCAAAGTTGTTCTAATTTTTCCGCTGGTGTCAAAATTGGCCCTGCCCGGGGGCAGTGATTCTCATTATGTACACAAAGTAAAAACAGAAATTAAAACAATGTTTTCTGAATGGGAAAAAGCTACAGCTTAGATGTTTGACTTGAAATGTTGTTTGGTGGACCTATATCAAGATTGTTTTGAATTAAACCCTTGGGTCCAAAATTTTGCCTTGCCCAAGGGGACAGTGACCTACTTTCTTGTCCTTTGATGTACAGCAATGAAATTTTGAACATGTGCACAGTTTTAGTTGTAAAATTGAATTTTGGTATCAGGTGACCTAGATCTGGATGATGTGACCTACTTTCTTTTCCTTTGATGTACAGCTATGAAATTTGAACCATGTGCACAGATTAAGATGTAAAGTGAACTTTGATTTCAGCTGACCTAGATTTTGACAAAGTGTCTTACTGTGTTGTCCTTTGATGTAGTCATGAAATTTAGGCTGTGTGAAATATGACCTTCACCATCAAATTCACTAGACTCAACTGAATTGATATATTCCTACTCTGATCTTTTATTGAGTTAACAACAGATTTAACCACTAATCTGATAATAAGAATTAGATAGGTTAGGGATCTATGTATTATGACAATCTTTAAAATTGTATAGAAACCAAAAAAAATCTGTTCCCTACACTACTATTTAGTGTTGTATTAATGCGGTGGCATAGCATTTTTCTCAATTTCACTTTGAAAATAGGGCCTTGTCTGGTTAACCTACTTCGGCAAGTTGGATTTATCTTAAATTTCTCCTAATTGCTTAATTTCTTTAATAATATCTTTCATATTTAGTAGGTGGATACCTTTGATGGTCATCTAATTTTTTGTGGAGTAAGTGGTCTCTTGGGTCAAGGTCAAGGTTACTGGTTTAAAAAATAAGTATAAACATTTTTGCTCATACAGCCTTTATATTTTATGTGATGTCTTAGTTTAATACAAACATGCCAAGGGTCCTCCTTCTTTGGGTGTAGTAAGGGGTCATTTGGGTCAAGGTCAATGTTACCAATGTCAAGGTCACCAATGTTAAAAATAGATTTTTACATTTGTACAGGTGTATTTACCTTATTCTATAGACAGATGTTATTTTTAATTGATAGGAACATCAAATTTGATGGAGTTAGTAGTCAGTTGGGTCAAAGTCACCAGTGCTAAAATAGATTTTTACACTTTCGCTCATACAGCCTTCATTTATTGACAGATATATTTGATATTTGGTAGGAAGATAACTTGCATGGTATTCATCCTTTTGATTGGGTAAGGGATCAGTGGGTCAAGGTCACTTGTGCTAAAAATAGATTTTTACACTTTTGCCCATACAGGCTTTATTTATTGACAGGTGTATTTCATATTTGATAGGAAGATAACTTGCATGATATTCTTCCTTTTGATTGAGTTGGGGATCAGTGTGTCAAGGTCACTAGTGCTAAAAATAGATCTTTACACTTTTGCCCATACAGCCTTTATTTATTAACAGATATATTTCATATTTAGTAGGAAGATAACATGCATGTTATTCCTATTTTGGATGGAGTTTGGGGACAGTTGGGTCAAGGTCACAAGTGCTAAAAATAGGTTTTTACACTTTACCCATACAGCCTTTATTTATTGACAGATTTATTTCATATTTGGTTGGAAGATAACTTGCATAGTATTCTTCCTTTGGATGGAGTTAGGGGTCAGTTTGGTCAAGGTCATCCTGCTCAAAATAGATTTTAACATTTTTGCCCATACAGCCTTTATTCATTGACAGGTGTATTTCATATTTGGTAGGAAGAGAACTTGCATGGTATTCTATAGGTGTCAGTGGGTCAAGGTCAAGGGTGCCAAGTATAGATTTCTTACATTTATATATATTTGATAAAGTTGAATATTAATCACTTCACAAGTCATAGCAATGACTTGGCAACTTATATATTTCACAATTACAAAATGCCATGACTTTGTCAAGCTATATAACTTGTGTTTAACAAATGCATGTTCTGTCGTACTGAGTGAAGGTAACATTTGAATATGCTACTGCAAGAATGAGCCGGGCATTGTGTTAAAAACGTTTTTTGAGTACAGTATGCTACCAAAGATGTTAAGTTGTTGTCCCATCCTGTAAACATCTTACATATGTTGCATGTGACATTTTGTGTATTCATTCACAAAAGTTATAATAAAAAAATGTTCCATCAAAATTGACCCTGCTGTAGTACTACAGTCATTTATTCTGCATTATTTTATTCTACATAGTCTCATGGGAACACACTTGCAACATAGATATTTTTAAGAAAGCCTTTCCAAAATATTAGGGCAAAATATTTCAATAACTAGAAGGGAAAGTAAAAGTTGAGCTGGACTGGCCTTTCAGCAAGTTCATTTGAAAAATAACACTGAAAAACAGTAACTGTTGTTTCTGGTGAACAACACAGGGCCATCATAGGCCTCTTGTATAAAGTTATATAGGGAAAATCTTCTTGTCAAAATCCACAAGACAATTTCTTTTTATTTGGCTTTTCATGTTTATTTTATTACATTACTTTCACTATAGACATCACTCAAAGAAGAAAGCAAAAGCCAAAGTCGATGTTTCCAGAAACAAACAAACGGGACAATCGGGGAAAACTATATCTTTTAAAAGACCTTGTGATATTAGCTAAACTCATATATGGTAAGTTTTTTTATCTCTAGCCCATGTCATGTTAAGAGTCACAGTCAATATCATGTGTCAAAAACTTACAATTTAAGTAGATTTAGATAAAGGAAAGTTTATCGTTTTAGCTTGATCATACCAAGTATATGGAGAGCTGTCCTATTCATGCCTGGTGTCCACTCCCAGATTTCAGAAGTAAAGTATTTTTAACTTTAACTTTCTTATTACTCCCCTACCAGATGATAGAGTTGCATTCATAATAAGATTTTAACATGGCCTTTCACATAAGTTTGAAGAAAAATTGTTGTTTTGTGGCATTTTTTTCAAATTATTTTTTTATTACTACATTAGCAATTTGTGAAAAATGGCTGTTTTCATTGAAAAGCCTCCTGTCACAAGTTCAAACTGCTATGAAACTAGAAAAAATGCTTAAATACTAATCAAACTCGGCACAAATGTTAACTCAACCGTAGCCTTTGTAACGGCATGCTCAATTTTAGATTTCCTGTTACCATGGCAAGGAAGGGATATACAGGCCTTCAAATGTTCTTACTTTTTCCTACTTTTTTATTGTGCCCCCACTTTAGGGGTGAGGGGCATTTAGATTGACCCTTGTCCGTCCGTCTGTCCGTTCTCTTTTGTGTCGCACGTAACTCAAAAAGTGTTTGACCTAGAGTCGTGAAACTTAAGAGGAATGTTGATCAGCATGTGCAGTTGTGCACCTGGGTATTTTCGTGTGGATTTATGTAGTGTTTTTAGAGTTATTGCACTTGACTTAGTAAAATTTTGTGGCATTTAACTCAAAAAGGATTTGACCTAGAGTTATGAAACTTTACAGGAATGTTGATCAGCATGTGTAGTTGTGCACCTGAATTGGATTCCTTCCTTGAAAAGTATTTGAATTAAATGTTTCCTTGAAAAACACCCAAAAAGGTACTTGAATTTAGCGTTTTGTCCAGGAATTCTGCAAATCTATCCTTGAAAATACAAAAACATTGATAAATCTATAAATAAAACATTCTTTGAAAATGTTATAACACTAATCTCAGTTTATATAGCGCTCATAGACGTTGGCTCCCCCCCAAAAAAAACAATTTCCAAATAAAAAAGTCAGGCATCAAATTGTTTCCAAAATCTTAAATTCATATCTAACTGTGACATGGTCAACCTGTGGTATAAGGTATAAATAAACTAAAATTTACACACATATCTTTGACATGTAAACCTCGATGAATTAAATAACCCACACAAGCCCAAAATCAATTTAAAATCCTGCACTTTAAATAGAGCGGCCAAGACAGGAAGTAATTGGCGTTTGATTAACTAGGGGACACAACTAAAGCTGGACTGTAAATTACAGTGTTTTTTACAGTCCAGCTTTAGTTGTGTCCCCTAGTTAATCAAACGCCATTACAGTAATGGCTAACTGTTTATTTATGGGTTTTTTCCGTAGTTTTTTGTTTCTTTTAAATATAATTAGTATTATCTGTGAATATAATATATGTTTACATCATTGAATTGTTTAAGAAAAATATAATGTCGATATTCATTGAACAATTAATAAAAAAAATGTCACCGGGTCAAAGGTCAAGGTCACAGGGGCCTTGACTTTAAAAAGCTTGTCTGACCAATAACTTAATAATCCTTTGAAACACAGTCTTCATATATTGCATGGAGGTTTGTCATGATTATTAGATGATTCCTTTTGATTTTGAGGTCACTGGGTCAAAAGTCAACGTCACATGGGCCTTGACATCAAAAATTTTGTCAGCCCAGTAACTTAAAAATCCTTTGAACCACAGTCTTCATATTTGGCATGGAGGTTGATCATGATCATTAGGTGACCCTTATTGATTTTGAAGTCACTTGGTCAAAGTTCAAGGTCACAGGGGCCTTGGCTTCAAAAAGCTTGTCCGCCCAATAACTTAAGATTCCTTTGACCCACAGTCTTCATATTTGGCATGGAGGTTAGTCATGATTAGTAGATGACCCCTACTGATTTTGAGGTCACCGGGTCAAAGGTCAAGGTCACAGGGGCCTTGGCTTCAAAAAGCTTGTCCGCCCAATAACTTAAGATTCCTTTGACCCACAGTCTTCATATTTGGCATGGAGGTTAGTCATGATTAGTAGATGACCCCATCATGGCCCTCTTGTATTAATCCTGATGTAACATTGTTACTGTAACGTGTACCGAGCATATGTACAACAAATATAGAATAAATTTTTCTTTGGACTACCTGCCGTTTGATAAATTAGATACAAATGATTATGAAATTATCATATGTCATATTAACACAATTAACTTGAATCAATACTTAAAGTTTCCTTGAATATGCTCTTAAATACTCTATAAAATTTTAATGTCATACCCCTTCTTTGTAAATAAAATATAGATATCCCAATGCAACCAGATACTTTCCTATAGTCCAGCAACTTTGTCTCCATCTATGAAGCGAGGCTTCTATTTAGATAGAAAGATAAGCTGCTGGTAGGGATTCATGACAAAGTTCCAACTATTTTTATCTATATAAAGCTTATTTGTTTTAAATCTACCTCTGAATTTTTAATACCTATATTTTACCATTTCTCTGCAAAGCTATGCTTTCAGAAAATATGGAAATCTATAAGTACCCACAGTCAAATGTAATTTCACAAACTTTAATCTATCGACACGATGTCCATGAAGCAAGGCTTCAATTAGAAATATTTAAAGCTAGGCTTCAATTAGATATACTTCTATGTATGAAGCGAGGCTTCAGTTACATAGAATGACCTGGTCATGGTGAATTCTTCTGCAGACTGTCTAATTTTGGCTCTAATTGCTGTATTTATACCTGCTGAGATTTAATTTTCATTGGCTGATCAAATAATCATTATTACTCGGACACTTACAATATATATGATATGAAACATTTATTGAAAATATGTATACCAAAAGTATATTTTAAAGTACTGTAAACTACAGTATATTGTCGCAATACAAACAAATATCATAAATAACACTAAATTTATTTCAGTAAATGATAATATTTATTCAAAACTTGCTTAGTAAAAATGTCAAAACGTTACAATTACAATCAGTTCAAATGCCACTAAAGTTAAAGGTACATGTACATTGTAAGTGCGGTGTTTATAAGTAACCTATTAAAGAAGAAAATCCCTAAGTGACAGCTCTACTGTTCACAAGGTGACACATCCGACTCCTGGAGGTCAAGATGCAAATAAAGCCACTTGACTAGTTGTGACCCCATTTGATTGCTAGATAAGATAAGGAATATTTCCGGATGAATAAAAAAAAGCCAGTGTTATTCAAATTTTCAAATCTGGACTGAAAAATGATTCAAGCAACTATCGAGCGATATTTCTATCTTGTCTACAATATCTAAGATTTTTGAACGTCACATAGCTAATCAGTTACAGCATTTTTTCCAAAAAACAAATATTTTATATAATAAACAATCAGTATTTCGAAAGAATCATTCATGCAATACGGCCCTTATTGATTTGATAGACTCCTGGCTAAAAGATGTTGATAGTGGCAAATATTTAGGTACAGTATTTTAAGACCTGCAAAAGGCGTTTGATTTAGTTGAAGATGAAATACTTTTATATAAACTTTATCACTTTTTTGTCACATCATTAAAACTGTTTCATACATATCTGTCTAATCATATGCAAATAATTCAAATTGGAGACTTAAAATCTGACGTACAATATGTTACCTCTGGCATTCCACAAGGCTCAATATAAGGTCCTTTACTTTTTCTCGAGATGACATAATAAATATTATCAGTTATAGAGAAAAAACTACAATATAGCCTTAATATGATAATTAAGTGGTGTAAAATAAATAATATGCTTTTACACCCTAAAAAATCTAAAAGTATGCTAGTAGATGGTAGACAAAAGCTAAAGATTACTAAAGCATTAAATTTGAAAATTAACGACTCGACTCTTGACAACGAAAACGATCAGAAAATTTATACAAACGCTTAAAAATATTGCCTTTCAAAAAGGATGTATTTTTCACACCGGTGTCCAAGTATATAAAGCTCTGAATAATATGTCCCCTCAATATATCCAGGACTTACCATATCAAATAATCAAAAGTATAATCTAAGATCGATATCTCATGGAAATTTAATTTTGTCTTACAAACCATGTACTAATTATTTTAATGACGCATTCCAATTTAATGCCATGGTTATTTGGAATTCCATACCGCTGACTTAACCCTTTCCCCCATGAGCATATCGTGAAAAATGGCCATTTTAACTGAAAAGCCTCCTCTTACAAGTTCAAACTGCTATGAAACTATGAAAAATGCTTCAATACTAATCAAACTTGGCACAAATGTTGACTGGACCATTGCCTTTGTAACGACATGCTCAGTCTTAAATTTCCTGTTACCATGGCAACGAGGGGACATCTCAAAATTGCCAAAAATCACTATTTTGCCTCGATTTTTTCCATCAAAATTTATTTCAAAGTGCCAAATCCCCCTTCTGGCAACCCCCTGATGTATTATTTGAAAAAATGGTCACTTTTTTTAACAACATTTCTCAAACGAAAAACAGTGTTTGGGGTCTAAATAGGACATTTTTTCACTGTTTGAGGCCTCAAAAGGGGGGGGGGGGGCAAAAAGCCGTCGAAACACGCTTATATAAGGGAAAAGGTTAATAAGAAGAAAAACAAAATTGTCAATATTTGAAAATAGTTTCAAGAAATACTTATTTAATGAACTTTAGCATGGCCCGTGTGTATTATATATATAAGATACGCTCTTTATATTCATACATTTGTTTTTATTATGCTCCCCGAAAAATTTCGGGGGAGCATATAGTCGCTGCCTTGTCCGTCCGTCCCCTTTTCTTGTCCGGGACATATTAACTTTGAAACGACAAAAGGTATCAACATGAAACTTTGTAGGTAGATAGATCTCATTGAGTAGGTGTGCAGTGCACAAGAACCGTAACTCTGCCTTGCCTAATTTTTTCATTATCCCCCTTTGTTTATTT